TGTGGGGCTGGGATACAGGTGAGTATTTTAATTTTTATAATCCCTTTCCACTGCAATAATCCTTCTAGTTATGCTGCCTGCAGAATACCAGCCTAACTACACCAGTCTGCTAATGGTATATTACTTGAATGCACACTGTGCTAAGGCACATAGAAGAGAGGGAGGTGATACAGGATAGCCAGCATGACTTCATTAATGTCAGGTCCTGCCTGACCAATCTAATGACCATTTATCATGGTGTTGCTCTGTCAGTGGACAATGGAAAAGCCACTGATGTCATCTGTCTTGACTTCAGTACTGTCTCTGACATGCTCCCATATCACTTTCTCCAAATTTGAAAGATATGGATTTTTTGTAATGGACCTTTTGATGGATGAGCAACTGGTTGCAAGATTGCACCCAAAGAATGATGGTCAATGGCTCACTGATCAGATGAAGGTTGGTGTCCCTCAGGGATCTGTATAGGAATAGGTGCTGTTTAATGTCTTCATCAATTACCTCAACAGTGGGATTGAGTTCTCCCTCAGCAAGATTGCAGATTATGTCAAATTGTGTGATGATGTCAACATGCCTGAGGGATGGGATGTCATCCAGAATGATCCAGAGAGCTTTGAGCAGTGGGTCTGGGTGAACCTCATGAGGTAATCCCCACTATCAATACAAGCTGGAGTATAAAAGAATAGAGCACAGCCCTGCTGAAAAGGACTTGGGGGCACTGGGGGATGGCAGGCTGGACTTGAGCCAGCAATGTGCCCTAGCAGCCTGGTTAAAGCCAACCATATTCTGGATTGCATCAAAAAAAGTGTGGTCAGCAAGTCAAGAGAGGTGACCCTGTGTCCTCAGTACAGGAGAGATATTGACCTGTTGGAGTGTATCCAGAGGAGGGCCACAAAAACTGTTCAAGGGATAGAACATCTCCCCTACAAGGACAGGCTGAAAGAACTGGGGCTGTTCAGCCTGGAGAAGAGAAAGCTCTGGGGAGACTTGATAGCAGCCTTTCAGTACCTAAAGGGGGCTTCAAGGAAGAAGGGTCTACTGTAATATATGACAAGGGAAATTGTCCATAACTAAAAAGAAGGAAGATTTTTGATTGGATGTAAGGAAGAAGCTTTTGAAAACAAATGTGAGGCACTGGAACAGGTTGCCCAGAGGTGTGAATGCCCAGTCCTTGAAGATGCTCGAGATCAGGCTGTACCATGCTTTGAGTAACCCAATCTATCTGTCTAGATGTCCCTGTTCATTGCAGGGGAATGTGACTAGGTGATCTAAAAGGGTCCCTTCCAACTCTAACAATTCTATAATTCTATATGAAGTCATAGGTAGGAGATACATTGTTGGTTCTTTCTTCTTTCCCTATTTTTTTCTGCTTGCTGCTATGAACAGTTCATGCTGGCTTGCTACATCTGCTCAGATGACAATATTTGCATTCTCAGCAAAGTAACTGATGATCTACTTTGCCTGCTTTTGCTTCTAGTGGCTGGCCATTCCTCCCTTCAATTCAAGAAAAATCAGAAAAGGTCAATGAAGCCAGAATTTGCTCATGTAAAGCAAAACCCCTTCTGAAGCCCTAGCATGAACAGTGACACCCATCTGGATTGCACTGCAAAAGCTGCAGCTGCGACTGCACCTGGAAAAATCTCACCACAGGCCCCCAGTCAGAAACAAAGCCAGAACCATGTTTGTTCCTTTTAAAGTAGGCAGTAGCTTATAACAAGGTGAACTGTTGGGCAATGACAGGGCTAAATGGATGCATGCAAACAAAAATACACTTTTTGGCTCCTTATGTAGCTGATATGCAGGGAGACTCTAGCTGAGCTTGGAGACTCCAGGTGAGCCCTTTCTCTTGTATTTCTAACAGTAGACTGTCTCTTGCAGAGAGCCTGAAGTCCTATCCTTTTCTCTGAAGTTTCTCATAAGCACCTATAAGAAAGCAGTGTGTAGCAAGCAAGCCATCTAGAACAATGGCCCTGTTTGTACATCAGTCAAGACCACTGCTATTATTTTGGAAGAAACGTCTGCAACACAGTAAACAAGCCACTAGTTCTTAATCTATTTTCTTAGGATATGCATGCTCTCTGACAATACAGATTACTGTTTCAGGACTACTGTTATAAATACATATCATTTCAGTAATCTGGTTTTATAACAAGTTTCACATAGGAAAACATATCTAGCCCTGTAATCCAGTTCTGAATTTTCTTAACTCCTGTCACGTCCAGTTATTCCTGAACTTAATTTGGAACAATTTTCAGGAAAGATCTCAGAAACCAGTACTTGATTATGTTAACTTTATTTCTTGAACTTCAAGGACAAGCAACACCCTGCCAGTCAATAGTAGATATTTGCTATTACAGTTGTATTCACAATTGTAATAGAAGCAGATTTGGATTAAGACAGGCCCAAACCCATTTCCAGAAATGAGGAGCTACTGTGAGAGTACACAAAAGCTCAACATATGCTGCTTTCTATCTGCTACCATGTAGGGAAATCAGAGAATGACAGGCACCTGAATCTGAAGGGGGGGAGGGGGGGGGGGGAAAGGCAGCTCAAATCTGCATCTCTGGAAGATGGTTTCCATTCTGAAACAGTTTAATATTTCATTAACTTCTTTCTGCCCCGCCACAGTGAATCCAAAGAGATGACTATAGGAATCTAGATGTAAGTCATGACAATATTGCTAAGGCTATATTCAAGATAGTAACAAAAAAGCTGAGTGGACTGTGTAATCCTGGCAATATATTCTTTTTTACTCAAGTACTTGCTCTAATTGAGTAAGGTGCTGACACCTATAAACCCAAGAAAAGCATGGAACCTGTAGCACTACCAGCACTGGCTCTTAACTTTCCTCACTGAGTCCATTGGCTATTGGCCAAAAATGTTGACTCACTGTAGCTCATACTGCTCAAGAGGATGAGGAGGAGTACTCCCAGCATGGGATTGGACCTCTTCTGTTCATAATGTGGTGCTCCAGACATGCAGAGTTCTAAAACAAAACCACTTGTACTGCAAGGGTGGTTAAACTAGTACAGGTTGCTAAGAGAAGTCATGGAGTCTCTGCTCTTGGAGATGTTTAAAACCATCTGTTCTGATCATGATCCCGAGCAGCCTGCTCCAGCTAATCCTGATCTGAAAGGGGAGCCTGAGCTGTCTGATCTTCAGAGGTGCCTTCCAATCCCATTGATTCTGAGCTCATAGCATACTTATTCTTCACTGACCTTTCTTTTGTGCTACTGATGGAAGAAGTACCTCAATTGCATTTCAGGAATTTTCATACAGGCATACAAGTTAAGTTACAGAAGGAGAGCTGTCCCACGGAAGGATGTAGATACTGCGACACCGAGAGCTGCATGTTATTATTTTTAGGCATTTCTTCCCCTTGGACAACACACAAAGAAAACTTAGGTGCTCCAATTCCCTGTGCAATAGATAGGGAAAGCAAGATATCTCAAGATATGATTCACAAAAGCAGAAAAGAAAACTGCCTCTAGAGCCACTGGAGGTGCCAAGGAGAAGGGTGAAGGTTAAGCCCTTCTTAGACAATAAATCATCCTTTTCTGGATGACAGAGTGCCATTTCTTAGTAGCTAGTGGAGTGGGGTTGGAGCTCCATCCCACTGCCTGCTGCTAGTTGCTTATAAAAACGCAGCAGGAAGAATCATTGCCTATGTAGATAATGGTCAAAAGGTTTGTGCAACAACCCAAAATACACACCATCCAGAGTTGGTTTCCCTAGTCTCATTTGGGAATTTGGGGTATACATTTCTTCCTAGTTGACTGTAAATGCTGTGATATGGAACAGAAGTCTCAACTGCATAAGCTGCTCCACTATGAAGAAATCATTCATCCACACAACTGAAGGAAAATATTAGTTGTATAAGAAAGCAGTACCAAGCACAGGTAGGATTATCACAGGCTGGGTAGAGGTTTTGCCTGGCCACTTCTGAAAGGAGTTTTCCTGACAGAGAGATCCTGCGGGCAAGGGAGAAATGAGGAATACTCAGATGTGGGCTACTGAGTTTCTCAAGTGGTTTGCTCAAACTTCTCCTCTCTTTTGTTCCACAGTGGCCTGGTGGATACACATCAGCAAGCCTTATGAAAAGGAAAAAAGATTCAGGGAAGCGACAGTACTGAATATCAGTTCAAGGAGACTGCAAATGTATTATAGATAACTCCTTCCTCCTCACCTGTCTAGCAAAATTCTTTACAGTTTTGGATCTAGTCATACTCCTCTTTTCTCTACTGGCCTCTGTCCCACTCTGCCAAGTCAGGGAAACTTCCCTACAGTCTGTCCCCATGGCTACAGTCGTGCTGGTAGATAATGACAGAACTTATTTCACTGAGAACTGATATGCTGTGCCATTCCAGTGCACAGTTAAACATGACAACCACAGTAACCATAGAAAGCTTTTATGCAGCTAGGTTTCCCAGGGATATTTATCTGTGTACTCAAAAAGACAGGATGCCTGAGAATGACTGTTGTGGATTCAGACTTTTGGTACAAATTAGTTTTTCTATTCAAATGCTGCTCAATTTCATCTTTAGTAAGCTGTTTAATTCACTCACTCCTATATGACAGTCCAGGACATAATGTTAGGATCTCTGAGATCTACTGCAGGGGCTGAGCTGTTCTCTGTGCTGTGAGGACAACAATTCTAGTACCTGGTGCTTTCCCTTAAAATCCTGGCCATTCGTTGGGGGGGAGGAAACACAGAGAAGGGTTCACATATGCAAGAATGAATACCTTAAGCGGCAGGAAGAAAGACTTGGGTAATGAAGAAGGTTGTAAAAAAAAAAAAAAAAAAAAAGTTATAGTTCGTCTTTCTGGAACCATGGATGACAGGGGGCAGGTATGCTGGCTCTGCTGTCGCCTTCAAGACTGAAAAAACAAAAACAAAAACAAACAACAAAACAAAACAAAAACCAAAAAAACAGCGTTAAGTGTGTTTTCCACCCCGAGTTACGCAGAGGAGCATTCTTCGTCGTGCTCCGAACCACCGCACAGCCAGCTCCAACACCGAGATGACTCCAGTGTGAGAGCTCACCAGGAAGAGGACGAAGACGACTCTCCTCGCGCCCAGCCCCGCACCCACCAGCGGGGGTGCGAGCCCCGCTGTCAGCCCCGCACGCCAATCAGGCAGCCTGCCTGCCTTCCTGTAGGTGTGTCCGGCTCACCTGGGAGCCGCGGTGCTGATGACATACCTGCAGCCCTGCGGGAAGCGCAGAGATCTGAGTCTGCTGTAGCCCAGGGCAGGGGGGTCCCAGCCTGAGCGGTGCTGGGGGTAGCGTTGGCCCCGGCCCGGCCGCCGCAGGTAAGGGCACTGTGAGAGTGGCGTTGCTGTTTGCCTGGAGATGCGAAGGCCTGGCGCCCGATCCAGCACGGGCCGGGCTGAGGCCGGCTGGAAGGGCGCTGTTCCTGGGGCCGGTGCGATAGGGAGAGGACGGCCGAGAGAGCGGCCCGCCGTTTCAGGATCCGACGGGGAGGAGGCGTAGGAAGAATCTCGGGGGAAGGAAGTCGCCCTCATCCCGCTGTGGGACGACGGGCCTGCTGCCCTCCTCTGGGACGTGGGGCTCGGCCTGATGCGCGTAGGTGTGGATGAATGTGTGGGGAATCGCCGTTCGGGGAAGCCCCGCAGAGCCAGGTGCAGGGATGCCCGCTCTGGTGCCTACAGGGAGAAGGAGAAATGAGCTTATACCCTCGGGGGGCCTTCCGCAGCCTTTTCTTGATGCTCCTGCCCCTCACAGGTAGAAATGTGGGCCCGATCCCGGGCCCAGCAGCTGGAGTGCTTTTCCGCACTGCTGCTGTGCCTCCCACATGAGAGTTAGGTCTTGCGCTGGTCACTGGACTGTGGACTTCAGAAACCTTGGTGTCTCAGGGCTGCATTTGAACTCTGGACACCTTGTTTTTCTCTCTGCTTTGCTCATTTGTGTCTTGTGACTTTTATGGCCTGTCATGGAGGAACGGAAGATGAGACGGGTGCTTGCTGCACATTTCCCTTCTCCCCACTTGGAGCTTACCCCAGAGCTGTGGTTACACCCTTGGTGCCTCAAGCAACTTGCCTAGCCTTTCAAGCTCCTGCAGCTCTTCCCAGGCCCACCCAGCACCCTTGTTATCCTTATGCTTTGTGCTTTAACTTTCAGAAGTTGGATGGATCAAATCTGGCAGACAGTACAAGGGCAGGGGAGCACCTTTGCCAAGGGATTACTGGATATGGATGCTGTTGCCTTGTCCTTCCCCCTCATTTGCTGGCCAAACCACATCCATAACATGCTACTGAAGTTTTGTGACAGCATTCACTGATGTTTTAGAATTTCTTGAAATCTAAAAGGCTTATTGAAGGTAACTTGTATAAGGATAAAGTTCTCTTAAAAGGTTGCATAGGAGGGAGGTGGCTTGTTTTGGAGTGATATATAAGTGACCTGGGTTTCTGAAGTGCAGCTGAACTGGGTGAGGAGAAGGCATTGAAAATATGATTTGAAGTTGTTCTACATCTGAATTATTCTTAAGTCTCAGTTGTTAATATTTGGTTTCCATGCACAGTCTCATTTTGCCAGCTCATGGCTGATGAAGTATTTGTAGTCTTATCCGTGCAGTAACTTGGTAGTCTTGATTAATCTGAGTGGGAAGGGGGATCACATGCTATGATCACTGGTGGCAGCATGGACTAGAACTAAGCCTGGTGCTACTGCTGAAGCTCTGTCTTCTTAATGTCTAAAACTATGAGACCTGGGTACTTCCTTTGAGGAACTCTTCTGAGAGCCTTTGATGTTTATAGCTTCATTTCTGGGCCTTGTTTTTTTCATCGTGTTAAACTTGGATATTCTTGCTCTTGTCCCTTGAGCCTTCTTATTTCCTGTGGATCACTTTTTTTTTTTTTTTTTTTTTTTTTTCTTTCAAGTCCTTTCCAGGTGTGAAAAACAAAATTTTCCTGAGGTTTTTATTTTTTATTTATTTACTTATTTTGTATCATTGCTCCAACTAAAAATCAGCCCACATCCTTGGGAAAAAAAATTGTCTCCATGGCCAGACAGTGCTGGTGCAGAACGGTAGCTTGAAGCCAGGCATGAATAGCCCTTGTGCTAAATTGAATAAAAGAAGGAATCATATGTTTAATTCCTATATTTCTGGGCTGAGGCAGTAGGTTGTGGTTGCACAGATCCTCTCAGCTAGCACTGCCACTGGAAGATGCTGTTATGCTACCATTTGTCATCTGTGCCAGTTCCTCAGCCTGGTTTGTTGTGAAGCTACATGTGCATGTGTGCCAGAAGAGAAAGAGCAATGTAGGATGGGAGTAAGGAGGATGGCATCTGTGTCAGTTTTTGACAAATTAGGGAATTTGTGAAACTAAGGCTTGAGGTACAGGAATTGTCACAAGCACAGTCTACCTTAAGTATTTATGGAAGATACACATTTTTCTTTTTTTCTTTCAATATTTCCTTTAAAGCAAGTGTTTAAGACCAGCTGCCCGGATTCACTCATTAGCCCAAGTTTACTCAGTTGCCAGACTTGGTTGGTCAGATGAGTTTAGGTCTATTGCATGGAAGTCCAACCTTTTGGTTTGCCTGAGTTGAACTGAGTGAAGAGGAATTGTCTTGGGCCACGTATAAAATACATGATATCAATAATGTGGATAAGTAACGCAACTTATTTTTTAATGTATTTTTTATTAAAACACGAAAAAGAATAACATAAATATAAGACTAGTGGGATATTTTTCCTTTTTCAGTGGAAGTATTTGCAATTCTTTGTGAGTTCTCAAAGTGCTCGTCAGAGATTTCTGATGAAATATTACTCTTCCTGTGCTTCATCCTTGAAAACAGTTGTTCACAAACATATAAGCCACTGAAAGGCAATGCATGAATCAGTTGTGATTGTGAAGTGAAGGTTATTTTTCTCTGGTAAAATAGGTCTTGTAAAAGTGTAGTAAAAAGACATAATCAAACTTTTATTTGCAACTTGATACATTACATGTGAGAATTCACGGGTAACGTATTTTTGTCAGCTGAAAAAGGAGTCAAAATACATTAAAAAATTTGTTTTTGTTTTTGTTTTTTTAATCTTCAAACCTATCTCAAATTTCTTTATCAAAATAGAAAGCATGGCTGCATATTTTGTACTGTTTACAAGAATGTATTTAGCCAATGCATCAAAATGCTCATTTGCCATAACTTGAACTTGCTGTAATTTTGAACACTGTTATGATTTGAAATAAGCACAGATAAGTGGATTTTCATCTTGAAGACGCATGTTTAATTCATTCAAATGAGCAGTCAAATCCACCAAAAGTGCTAGACCTCTGAGCCATTTTTCATCTTTAAGTTCTGGTGCAGAATTTCTTTTTGATTCCATAAATGACTTGGTTTCATTTTTCAAATCATGAAATCTTTTTAGCATTTTACCCCAACTTAGCCATCTCCCTTCAGAAAAGTAAATGATATTCCCATAATCAGCATCCAAATTTTTAAGAAACTCCTGGAACTGGCAATGATTAGAATTCATGAAATTCTCAGATTTGATGATCATTTGCATTATGTTATCCATTTTTAAAGCTTGCACATGGCAATTTTCTTCATGTCTGATGCAGTGCTGTTTCATCAAACACGAACTGCTGGTGGTAATTGCATTGTCTTCTATTAATCGTGTAGGTCCCTCTTTTTTTACCAGTTATCTATGTGGAACCATCAGTAGCTATACTAGATATATTGACAAAAGTTGAAGAAAATTGCTTTAATGTATTTTTTACTGCTTCTTACAGATCAAGATAATTATAATCTTTGAAAATTGACACAGTTTCCTTTGCAAATTAAGCATAGTACCATATTATTTATCTTGACAAGAAAGAACTCATCAGTCTATTTTTTGTTGAACAATCATCCTTCATCCATAATTTTCCTTTTTTGGGGTTCTTGTTTTCTTTTGAGACACCATTAGGTACGTTGAAATATCAGTATCAGCAGTCACTATTTTTTGTTCAACAAGTGACAAAAGCACATGCCATGTGTAATACATGTGGGTTGAGTGCATGTGATGGGTGTAAGAAGAAAAGTTTGTTCTGCACTATGCCCCCCCTGTTTTGGATAGTATATGAAAAGTGAACAGGAGTAGTTGGCTGTAAATTAACTTCCTGAGACTGTATCCTGTTTGCAGAAAGTCACATAGAAGTGTGTGATGACTAGGACCACGGAAATATTCATACATCAAAGTACTTCTGTAGCCTCTAATTAAATGTTTAAGTTCTTATTGAGTGAGAGCTTTCTTGGAGCTCAGTTTCTACCACTGGAGTTCTTGCCACTTATTATACACAAAAATTCCCAAATCCAAATCCAATTCCACTATATCAAATGGGAACACAGTATTTCCAAATGGAAATACTAGGTTACAGCCTAAAACAGTGGTTGAGTACCTGGTGGGAAGACAGGATCAACCCAGTGCATGCAATGCACCTGAGTGACCAGAAGGAGTAGGATGGGGATCCACTCCTTCCCAGACTTCATTTAAGATTTGGCAATGCAGGGCAGCTATTGCTGTAGATCTCTGCCTACCTGAGGCCTTCTGAATGTAAGCAGCTCTTTTCTTTCATTTCTGCATCTGTGGCTGCTGCATTAGGGCTCATTCTCATTTGCTGGAGCCAGAGACTTTGCCATTCTGCTATTATCATCCTGTTATAGCATTACACTGGGTCATGCTGCAGTGTCTGTGGGGATTCACAATCTTAGTGGTCCCTTGCATGTGCGGGCAGGGCACAGTCTTGCTGATGAGATTAAGCCTTGCACAGTGTGTCTGAAGAGGGAAGGATGAATGCTACTTCATCCAGTGGTAGTTTGAGGTTTCAAAATATTCCAATCTAGAGGGAAGGATTAGGATTACAGGATTTCTTCATATTAGAAAATGGGATTCGGGTTGCTTTCCCATAGCAGATGAAATGGGGAGTTGGAAGCACCTCAGTGTGTTCCAGGTGACTGGTTCCATCAGTGAAAAAATTGATGGGTTAAACTGAAGAGCACACTAAACACAAATCCTGCCCCACCTAAATAGTGTCCTCATAACGCTGCGTGTAAGGGCTGAAGGGAGAAAATAACCACTGGAGATGCATAGTCACAGAGGAAAGCTACTAAATAACATATGAAATTTGCTTCAGTTCAGACTAGAAAGTGCATATGCCTGAGGAAGCAGAAGGTCAGATACAGTACTTTTGGATTGCGGGAGCCCTATGCATGTGGCACAAAGTCTGAGCTGAGTTCAATGCAGTGACCTGTTGGACATGGTCATTGTTTGCAGCTGCTGCAAGATGGCTACAATAGTTACATCTAC